CATGCAGCAGGAATCCAAAAAAAGGCAGGAGTAGCCATTCTGTTTGCAGACAATGTGAACTTTAAACCAACAATGACCATAAAGGACAAAGAAGGTCACTACATACTCGTAAGGGGAAAACTCCAAGAGGAAGAGATAACTATCTTAAATATATACGCACCAAACTCCAGAGCACCCAGTTATATAAAACAATTATTAACAGAAATGAAAACTCAAATTATCAGTAACACAATTGTAACAGGAGACCTTAATACACCACTGACACCAAGGGACAGATCAACCAGACAGAAAATGAGCAAAGAAATAACAGAACTGAATCATACCTGTGAACAAATGGGTTTGATAGATATTTACAGAATGTTCCACCCAACAACATCAGAATACACATTCTTCTCAGCAGTACATGGATCATTTTCTAAAATAGACCATATATTAGCTCACAGAACATATTTAAGCAAATGCAAAAGAGTTGAAATCATCCCTTGCATATTATCGGATCATAGCGCTCTGAAATTAGAAATTAATGACAAAGGATACTGCAAAAATTCCGCAAACACATGGAAACTAAATAACACACTCTTGAGTAATCAGTGGGTCACAGAAGAAATTAAAGAAGAAATTAAACAATACCTAAAAGAAAATGAAAATGCAGATACAACTTACCGGAATCTGTGGGATGCAATGAAAGCCGTTCTGAGAGGAAAATTTATTGCACTGAGTTCCCACATCAGGAAAACAGAACGAATACAAATAAATAACTTGATGCTACACCTCAAACAGCTAGAAAAAGAAGAGCAAGTCAAGCCCAAAGCCAAGAGAAGAGAGGAAATTATAAAAATCAGAGCAGAAATCAATGCAATAGAGACTAAGAAAACAATCCAAAGAATCAACGAATCAAAGAGTTGGTTCTTTGAAAGAATAAATAAAATCAATAAGCCCCTAGCCAACCTTATTAAAAAAAGGAAACAAAAAGCTCAAATTCATGCAATAAGAAATGAAAAAGGAGAAATCACTACAGACCCAATAGAAATACAGAGGATCATCAACACCTATTTCGAAAACCTCTACTCTCAAAAGTTTGATAACACAGAAGAAATAGACAGATTCTTAGAAGCATATGAAGTACCAAAGCTAGATCAAGAGGATATAACCCAATCTCTGCTAATGAAATTGAGAATGTAATTGGGTCCTTGCCCACCAAGAAGAGCCCAGGCCCAGATGGATTCACTGCAGAATTCTACAAGAAATATAAAGAAGACCTAATGCTGACACTCCTCAAACTATTCAATGAAATTGAAAGGGAAGCAATCCTTCCTAAGTCATTCCTGGAAGCAAATATTACTCTAGTACCAAAACCTGAGAAAGACCCAACTATAAAAGAGAACTATAGACCGATCTCCCTAATGAACACAGATGCAAAAATCCTCAATAAAATATTGGCAAATAGGATCCAGCAAATCATCAAGAAGATTATACACCATGACCAAGTGGGATTCATCCCAGGAATGCAAGGATGGTTCAACATATGCAAATCAATAAATGTAATCCACCATATCAATAAAGCCAAAAATAAGAATCACATGATCATCTCTATAGATGCAGAAAAAGCCTTCGATAAGGTCCAACACTTATTCATGATAAGAACTTTACAGAAAATTGGAATAAATGGTCTTTACCTCAATATAATAAAGGCCATTTATGACAAACCAACAGCCAGCATCATACTAAATGGCCAAAAATTGAAAGCCTTTACTTTAAAATCGGGTACAAGACAAGGATGTCCTTTATCACCACTCCTATTTAATATAGTACTGGAAGTACTAGCCAGAGCAATTAGGCAAGAAAGAGAAATAAAAGGGGTAAAGATAGGAAAAGAAGAAGTTAAATTATCATTGTTTGCAGATGACATGATACTCTACATAGAAGACCCCCTAAACTCCATTGAAATACTCTTAGATACAATAAATAAATTCAGTAATGTGGCTGGATACAAAATCAATACTCAGAAATCAATAGCATTCCTATACACGAACAACAAAATTACAGAGAGGGAAATAAGAGAAACTGGACTATTCACATTAGCAAGCAAAAAAATGAAATATTTAGGAATTACTCTTACGAAAGAAGTGAAAGACTTATACAGTGAAAATTATAATACACTGAAAAAGGAAATTGAAGATGATCTCAGAAAATGGAAAGACATCCCTTGCTCATGGATAGGAAGAACAAACATTGTGAAAATGGCCATTCTCCCAAAACTGTTATACAGATTCAATGGAATCCCAACAGAAATACCATCAACATACCTTATAGATCTAGAGAAATCACTCCTAAATTTCATCTGGAACCAGAAGAGACCTAGAATCGCAAAGGCAATTCTAAGCAGCAAAGACAAAGCAGGAGGCATCACAATCCCTGACTTGAAGTTATACTACAAAGCAACAGTAGTAAAATCAACATGGTATTGGAATCAAAACAGAGCTGAAGATCAGTGGAATAGATTAGAAGATACAACCACAACTACGAACACACTCAACCACCTTATTTTTGATAAAGGAGCCAAGCAGGTTCACTGGAAGAACGACAGTCTCTTTAATAAATGGTGCTGGAAAAACTGGCTCTCCATTTGCCGAAAACTAAAGCTAGACCCATGTCTATCACCATGTACTAAATTAAAATCTAAATGGATCAAAGATCTGAATATTAAAACAGAAACACTAAATCTATTGGAAGACAAAATAGGTAGAAACCTTGGAGACATAGGAGTAGGTAAAGAATTCATGAACAGGACTCAAACCGCACGGGAAATACTTCCCAGAATCAATAACTGGGACCACTTCTTATTAAAAAGTTTCTGCATGCCAAAAGAAATCTCCAGCATAGTGAAAAGAAAACCCACAAACTGGGAAAAGATTTTAGTGAACTCTCTCTCAGACAAGGGCCTCTTGTCTAAAACATATAAAGAATTAAAGAAACTCAGACCTCCGAAATTCAAAGATCCAATCCAAAAATGGGCATCTGAGATGAATATGCAATTCTCAGATGAAGAAATGCAAATGGCAAATAAATACATGAAAAAATGCTCATCATCATTGGTCATTAGAGAAATGCAAATTAAAACCACACTGAGATACCATCTCACTCCTGAAAGAATGGCCAGGATCAAGAAAACCGACAACAAATGCTGGAGAGGCTGTGGGGAAAAAGGAACTCTCCTGCACTGCTGGTGGGAGTGTAGACTGGTACAGCCTTTGTGGAGATCTGTCTGGAGATTTCTCAAAAAGTTGGGACTGGAAATCCCATTTATTCCAGCTATTCCACTTCTAGGCATATTCCCAGAAGAACTGAAAGCATCATACCACAGTGATATATGTGCACCTATGTTTATAGCAGCACAATTTGTAATCGCCAGATCTTGGAAACAACCCAAGTGCCCATCAACTGAGGAATGGATAAAAAAGTTGTGGTATTTCTATACAATGGAGTATTATTCAGCTATAAAGAAGGATCACATTGAGATATTTATCAATAAATGGGCGCAGCTTGAGACCATACTCATTAGTGAAATAAATAAATCTCGCATGTGTCAATACCGAATAGTTTCCCTAATGTAAATAATGATTCAAATATATAAAAATATGTGGTAATCATGATTCCCCATTAGGTGGCCTTGAAGCCTTATAAAGTTTTCACTCATTAATTAGAAAGGCTTTATTCTGGGCTTCTTGATATGAAAATATTTGAAGCTAGAGTATATGAAGTTTTATCCAAATATTTCAAGGAAAAAGACACTATGGTAACTACTATTAAGTCAGGTTATAAGGTGGTGAAGTACTAGGTTGTTGAAACAGTCATGCTGTGACCTCTATTGTTATATTGTTGTGTCCTGTTTTATCTCAATCTCCCCCTTATTGTTTCAAAAAAAATTATTTAGTCATTTCTTATGTTTGTCTTAATTAAAGAAAAAATTCAAAAAAATTAGGATATATAAATAGTAACTCTTTTCGATTTCCTATTAACTTGTTTTGAAGTCCTGTAGTACTCCCACGATCTTGTTTTGACTGATTAGACTCTGTTCCATTCTATATGATAGTATCAAGTTTGAAGACATAGGCAACTACTTTGAAGACAATAAGATTCACTAAGATACCCATTCTGGTTTGACTATTGTCTTCTTTGGAAGTCCTGTAATGTTTACAATGCCTAAGTTTTATTGTCTTGTTCTCTACTGTTTTGTCCAACTTTATAATATCTAATAAGATAGACAATTCTTTTTAAGGAAACAAGGGACAACGTTGATAACCATTGTTGATAAACTTGTACTCTGTTCTACACCATGTGCTATGTCTATCCTTGGTATTGACTGACAGCTTTGTTTTGCCATATTTGACTGTATTCTTCCCCCCCCCCAAAAAAAGTAATAAGCACTAAGGAGTAATAAAATCCAAGATGTGTAAATTTTGTTGTAAAAAAGAGAGGGGAAAAAAAAAAGAAAAAGAGCTCTAACGGATATAACAGCAAGTGTGTTTGGGGGTGTTAAATAGCTGACTTTATCAATGTTTTTGGAACATTGAACACAGCTGTTTGCAGTCTCCCTGTTTGAATGTCCACCTTGTGTTCTTTGATACTGTGATTTGAGGAACTATTTTCAAGAAGATAGTGTGTAATCTACTAGCAGGTGATTTCTTACTGTTATGTTTTTTTGTTTTGTTTTGTTTTGTTTTGTTTTGTTTTGTTTTGTTTTGTAGTTCTGTATTGCGTGTACCCTTACGCCGCTTTGGTTTGTTTTGTGTTTTTCTCTTTTTCCTCTTAAATAAAAAAAAAATGTATACTCTACTTCCTTGTCATTATTCTGTAACTTTTTAAATTTGTATAAAACTTTTCTCTATTAATTTGCTACATTTCTCTGCACTATGAAACACTGGAATTTTTAGTAGGTTTTTACTGCTTTATTCTGTACTTTTTGGCCAAGTAACATTTTCATTTATTTATTTTTGTAGACTGACTATGTCAAAGGAAAATTATGGTATAATGAAAGATGTTTTGCTAACAGAGAAAGTTTTGAAGGTAAGTTTTAGTGAAAGATACATTAGCAGGCCTTTATCAAAATATATGATGTATAGATTGAATTAAATGACATAGAATAAAATGTAAAGATAAGTTTCATCTAAATTAATGCACTAAACTGAAAAAATTAATTTAAATTTGAGGCAATAAACATGCATGCATAAGTACAAAAAGAATGTATTTGTGTATTCATTAAGTGATGGTACATAACATCTATCATGTTTGTGGAGACTAGTAACACTAACCACCCTTCTGGTTTTAAAAATATTAATACCATTCTCTATCTTTGTATTTTGTAGTTGATTATGTTACTATCACCTTTGACAGAAACAAGACCCTAAGTGAGGTAAGATATTGAATATTTTAAAAGACAAAATATTGTGTTATGCAGAGTTTCATGGGCTGTTACCAATCTAAAAATAGCAAGTCTGCACTGAAAGGCTTAACAGTCGCTCTTAGCTCCCAGTGATATCTGTTGAGATTTAATAGCAGCTCCCCACCTATGCTAAATCTAGACCTACTCAGTGATTCTAGAGAACTAATCCATACCAGAAAGAGATGGTTTCCAGTGTTTTCTGGGCTTCTGTCTTCCAAAAGAGAGGCATAGATGTTAAAATTTGAAATATTATTTGTGGTCAGTAAGGACAACACAGCAGTTCAGTAGTTTATTTTCCTGCAATAACTAATGAGTACTTATATTTCAAAAACAACATTAACTTTCTATTTCTCTTTTTCTAGGCAAGCTCTTGTTTTTATAGTAAAGAACCATTTCTTGACTGGTTACCTTGCTCACCTCATGTTTTCAATGATGCAAAAAATATATTTCCAAGTGAGATAACATTTCTTGTTGACCAAGAGCATTACACAGGAGTTTATCTTTTATATGACCAGGTAGGTCTTATAACCCAGAGCTGATTATCCTTTGCATTCTAACAATGAAAATTTACTTTAGCTAAAGCTACTTCCAAATTCTTGTTATTTTTGACAATAGAACCTGACAAAATTGGCTGAAGTCAAGTTATTTATGATTAATATTGTAACCTGACCATTTAAAGATTTGTCACCTCTGATTGTCATTAAGTTTTATGAAAATAGAAAGCAAGACACTGGCTGTATAATGACTATTCTTTGCCAATAGTTCTCTAGAACAATATAAACTGAAACTTTGTTGTATAAATTTAAGGTTCCATAAACTCAATGCTAGTTACAATGAATAAAAAAAGTGAATCTATTGCCATAGAACTATATTTTGTATTCCTAAAGTCCTTAAAAAGAATAAGTTAGTTATACTTGTCCAGGTAGACATAGTATCTTCCCTCAGGGTCATAATTCTTCCCTGGAGTAGGGATTTAGGGTAACTTTAATTGGCATTCTCTTTCTGGGAGCAGATCAGCACTGAAGAGAAATGTATGGTAATCTCTTTTGTCAGAAGTTGCTGCTTTATCTAGATAAGGCAAGGTCTGAGAAAGCATATCTCCTGCATCAGTAGAATCTCAAAAGTCTAGAGCTTTAAAATTACCTTTAGGCCCAGGCACCTCCACCCCTCACCCATGCGACCCTCCCTCAGTCCCTCTGCGCCCCTCAGCCCTGCTGCTCTGCCTTGCTTGGGCTTCCATTTCCTCACACCACAGGCCCTCCAAGGCCAATGGAAGCTCAGCCAGTGCTTCTTCTCAAGCTGCTTTGGCAGTAACTGCAGGTGCCACCATCATGATGCATGAAAGTGAAATAAGTTTCTTTGCTAGATGTGATTTGGTGAAAGAAGTGAAGATAATCACAGATCAAATTGATGTATCCAAAGGCTATGGGTTTGTTTCGTTTTATAATGACGTGGATGTGCAGAAGATAGTAGAATCACAGAAAATTTTCCACTGCAACTGGACCCTGCAATCAGGAAACAAAATTTGGAAGGAAGCTGGGAAGATGGCAGATCAATAAGCAGTAAAGTAAAAAACCTTTCTTGAGAAGAACAGCTCAGATGCTGGAACATGGCATCCTGGAGAAGACCAGATGGAACGAGATGGAGCCTCTCAACCCAGAAAGAAACTAAAGTGGAGACAAAAGGAAGAAAGAAAAGAAAAATGTGGACAGAAGGCTGTAGCCAGATGTGCTTTCACTGGAGCTGGTCTCACTGTGTGTGAAACACCACTGGATCTGAAGGCACATGATCAGGGTAAAACTGGGGGTTGGGAAGGCTGAGGGCTTCGGCGGAAGGACGTGGTCATGGAAGGGAGAGGTGGACTGGAGGATCTACACCAGCTCTCTCTAAGTGTGAGGAACTCAGTCCTCCCACAGGAGTGGGCGACTAGCCAGGTGACATTTTGGAGTTGGGCAGAATAAGCTGGGAACCAAAACTGCAGATAGCTTCATTCAGCCACTCCTAGCGCAGAACAGATTGGTGAGAAATGCTTCAACTGAGTCCTGCCCCTGTGCACAATCCAACAGCCAAGAACGAGGTTTCCCTGAAGCTATCCCTAGCCAGTGAAGACTGCAAGTGGTTGACCAGCTCAGAAGGGAGAGACCAGCCTCCCCACCCCTGCTTGTACTCCAGTAATCACCCGCCGAGTGGGGAAGGCAGCAATCCCTAGCCAGTACACTTTAGAGTAAGTGTAACCAATACAGGAGGTGCTGGGAAACCCCAATATCCACTTGTCTGGAAGAAACCAGAAACATGACAAGAGGAAGAAACAAAAGGAAGTCTCCAGACTCCAACTCAACAGTACTGGCCCAGGAGAGGAAAACAACACAGAAGAGATTGGGGGTCACACACCTGCAGTCTCTGAAAAAGCAGCATCTGACATAAAGAAATAGCTTCATGAAATTATAAAAGAACTTAAAACAGAAATATTAATACAAGTAAAGAAAGATATAAGAAAATGATAAAAGAAATGCTAAGCGTCTCTCAAGAAGACATAGATGGAAGAATGGAGGAGCATAAAAAGGAGGGAAACTTTTAATGAAGAATATTTTAAAAATCTAGAATACATGAAACAGATTCAGAGAGATTACCAGGAAATTAAAAACTCCATTCAAAGCTGGCAAAACTGCTTGAAAGAAACTAAAGATAAACTGTCAAACTTTAAAAATAGGTTTGCAACATGTGATCATGGAAGGAAAGATCTCTTAAAAATAACAAGGAACCAGGAAGTAACAATATGAAGGCTAGAAGATGACAAGAAGTTTTATAACTTAAGAATAAAACATGTGAGTGAAGAAATAAGGGTAAACACAAATGAAATACAAAGGCTATTTACAGAAATAATTAAATAAAACTTCCCAAAGCATAGGAAAAGGAAATGATATTCAGAAATAAGAGGCATATAGAACTCTAGCCAACTATAACTAAAGCAGATCTACACCCAGACATATAATAATCAAGATCCCAGAAATTCAACACAAGAACAGAATATTAAAAGCTGTCAGAGAAAAGAAACAGATCACCTATAAATAAAAACCCATCAGAATCATGACAGACTTCTTGACACAAACCATCAAATCAAGAAGAGCTTGGAACAAAGTATTCCAAGCCCTGAAAGAAAATAACCTCCAACTCAGATTGATGTACCCTGCAAAGCTATCTCTCAAAATTAATAGAGAAATAAGATGCTTCCATGACAAGGAGGAAGTAGGTGAGTTAATGACCCCAATCCAACCCTACAAAAAATAGTGAAGGACATTAGAGAGAGACAGAAAAAAACCATGGCTTCAGGAGCAGTGGTAGAGGGGGCTCAGTGAAGCAGACATTGGAATGAAGGGGAAAAGTAGACAAACAGCAACAGAAAACTAGCATGGCAGAGATGAGGCAGAGAGGTGAGCCAAAATCGCTAACAGGGGTGGCCTGGATACACTAATAAAAAGAAACAGGCAAAGTAGATCAGAAGATAGGGCCCATCAAGATGCTCTATATAAGAAATATAATTAATCTGAAAGAGGGTTTATGGAATGAAAGTCAAAGATGAGAAAATAATGCTCTGTGTGACAGGGAACCAGAAAAAGTAGGTGTAGCTCGCCCATCAGCCGCAGATTGGTTGGAAAAACATAACACTTATACAATGGAGAACTACTCAGCTATAAGAAAGAAAAACCTTGAGGCTCTTATAGGTAAATGGATACAACTTGAGACCAAGCTCAGGGATAAAAAGGTTCAGAACCACTCAGGTAAATAGCGGGTTGCCTCCCTAGTCTCTAAAAACTCAAGGAGTTAGTGGGACACAAAATGTACAGTGCACCCTGTGAAAGAAAGGGGAGGAATTGTCTAAATAGGGAAGGCAGAGGACATTGTTAATCTTGTATCATGATTTGAAACCCATATTGTTTTCATCACTCTTTTTAGTTTGGTTATATTCTGTTCCAGTTTGTCTACTTATATTATATTTGAGGGCATGGACAGCTATTCCAAAGACAGCAGGATATACTACAGTAACCATTTTTAATTTCCTAATCTGAAGCCCTGTATTGCTTTCACTACCTTATTTTGACTGGTTTTATTTGCATCTGTTTTGTTTGATCGCCATCTTATCTTGACTGATTTTATTCGAATCTGTTATGTTTGACAGTATCAAGTCTGAGAGTAGAGGCAACTACTCTGAAGACTATAAGATTCAATATGATACCCATTCTGGTTTGACTATTACCTTCTTTTGAAGTCCTATAGTGTCTCCAATGTTTTGTTTTTATTGATTTTGTTCTGTAGTGCTATATTCAATTTTATTGTGCCTGATGATACGGGCAATTCTAATGAAGATAACAAGAGACATTATGGTAACCATTGTATATCACCTTATATTTTGATTTTAAGTCATATGCTATATCCATCCTTTTGTTTTGACTGACCTCATTCTGGTTTTTTCTCATTTGGTTTTATTCTCTTCAAAATAAAAATTTTTTAAAATGCTGGGTGTCACCCTGTTTCCCAGACTGGCCTTGAACTCAGTCTTCCAGACTCAGCCTCTCGAGTAGGTGGGATTACAGGTGTGGACCGCTGTACCTGAATTAGTGGTTTTACCTCTCAATGTATCTGCATCTTCTTTCTTACCTGAGTGTTGATGAATCTAAAAAGTTTTGTTCCACTCCATTTTATGAATTTCCTATTCAAGATTTTATTTACTTTGTTCTTTTGAGACAGGTCCTCACTCTACAGTTCAGGCTAGCCTTGAGCACACTTTGTAGCCTGGGCTGGTCTCAAACTTGCAATGATCCTCCTGCCTCAACCTCCTAAATGCTAAGATTTTAGGCAGTGCCACCCGGCCTGGCCAAGATTTTAGAAGTTCTGTTTAAATGTGTCCACTAGATGGCAACCCTCCATTTTTAAAATCACAGTTTTACAAACTTAAAAATATAGTTAATCAAATCTTTGCACATCTGCCAACCAGAATGTTAATATTTTGTTATCTTCAAATCTAGAGAAAAATGCACCAATATATGGGTTGCTACAATCTTCCACTTAGTCCCGTTTCCTTCCCTAAAAGGGAAACCACACGAATTCGGTGTGGACCCAAGGACTAGAGATTTAATTCAATGGCCTAAGTGCCTGCCTGCCAAGTGCAAGGTTGTGAGTTTGGTCCCCAGTAATCCTTTCAAAAAGACTAAAAGCAAATGAAAAAATAAGTTGGTATGGACCTAGTCTGTTTTTAGTACAGTTTTGTTTTGTTTTTGTTGCTTTTGTTGTACTGGAGATCAAACTCACATTTGCCATTGTGCCCACTGAGCTAACCCTTGACCTAGTTACAGGTATTCATAAGTAACTCATGATTGCAGTATGTTTTTTGGCAATTTGTAAGTGGTTCCTTAATGTAGCATTCTATAAATGAGTCAACTAGAACAAAGAAAACTCAACGGAATTTTTAGTTACTGGGGAATCCTTTGCCTGCAAAGGGTTGGGATGTAGCTTAGTG